AAGCACAAAAAATCAAAATGGCTGCGGCCTGATAACTCCAAATTGGTGAAACGGAGCCCCAATGATGCTGATGATGCTGGCCAAGGGGGCCAGCATCATCAGCATCATTGAAGGCTCGTTTCTCCAATCTGAGCTCTTCCCTTCCGAAAACCCCCTCAAACTTGCAAAAATTGGTGCCCGGGCCCAGAGAGGTGTCGGGGTCTCGTTTTCAAAAACGTCCGTGCTCATGATGCTTTCTGGGGGGTCTCGAAAAACCAAAAAATTCCCTCAACAATCCATCCGTGCCGTGAGGATTTGCTTCAGGAACGCATGTCAATTTGAACTTGGTTTGGGGGTGGGGTGCAGAAGGCCCCCTTGGAGAAACGGAGGTCCAATGATGCAGGGTCGGCGGCATTGACCTCCGCTCCATGGCTAAAGCAAGCCCCGTGGCCTGCGGCAGCAACCCGAGGGCGTTAATAGCTGCCGCCGATGCCGCCGACCCCCAAACGACTCCTATCCCAGAATTTAAAGACTGGGTGGGGGGTCGGTGGGCGGGAAGGGCGAGGTGGGCGGTGGGGGGTTGGGCTGGCATTGGACTCGTGTTAAAGACCCATCCACTCCTACCAGAATTCATTTAAAAAACTGGGTGGGGGGTCGAGGTGCTGTCGTTGGACTCGCACTAAATACGTATCCACTCCTACTAGAAGCCATTAAAGACCGGGTTGAGGGGTCCGCGGGCGGGCGGGAAGAGCGAGGAGGGCGGTGAGGAGTGGCGAGAAGGGTGAGGAGGCTAGCCGGTGAGCGCTGTAGCCACAGAAAGGATGTAAACACAGCTTCACGGGCGCGGCCCCCAGGAGGGGTCGGCCGATAGTGCTCACCTCTTGCTCGCCATGTTGCGGATGGGTTTCTGTAATTTATGATTCTATCCAAAACCATCTCTGTATCCCACTCCCTGTTTGGGCTTGGTGACTTGATGTTCAGCTGGTCAGCCCGCAAACCGGCGGGCCACAGACGCGTGTTAGAAACCAGGAACCTTGGGAAGTGACCTCTTACACTTCCAGGCTTATGCTGTCACCGTAACTCGACTTCCTAGGCTGTTCCGAGCATGGCGGCTGTGAAGTACTACCTGGTGTCAACTGATATGCCGGAGCAGTTTCAGCATCCACTCCTGATTGCCATCGAGGGTGACGCAGCTTTGCCTATCAGTTGCTGCACTTCTACAGCATGCCAGGATTCAATGGTGAACACCAGGCCACACTTGACAAAGCAACGACTGTGATTTGAGGCAACGGGCCCTCACAAGAACTTTGTGGATCAGCAGCGCATTCAGCAGCAAGCCACTTTTCGGCAGCATTCCAGCGTGGAGGCGTAGGGCTTGGGCTCAGGAGACTGATTGAGACTAACGTATGCGCAGATGCACAGATTCCACCTACCAATGCTTCACAAGAGCCAAATCTTTCCTCTCAGGTTGCCTCCAACGCTGCCAGCGCACTAGAGTTGACCACGCCATAGGTATAGTGGTCATCATAGCGTGTATTCAAGAACGAGGGTTTTGAAGCTATGGTGCAAGTCAAGAGCACAAGGGGGACATCTCAGCACTGTTTCTTAGCAAAAAAGCTTTTGCAGCATGTGCGGCAGTCATAGCTCAATGTCTTTAGATAGTTTTTGTTTTAGCTGCCTTGAGTGGGTTTGTAGAGACCTTCCCGCCCACTGTCACAGCAAGTGCAGACAGTTATTGCCACCATGTAATGCGAAGGCGCTTACTCTTCTGGCAGTTTCACTTTTTCAGCTTTTCTGTGTGCGCTTGGCAGCACAGTCAAAAAGGTTGAGCCTCATCCCAGATCTGCGGTTCTTGCGATGCTAGCATGCCGCCAGTGCTGCGTTCCAGGCCCTAGGCGCAAGGCTGTTTGTGCACGTGTTCTCCTGTCGTGGCAGGTACGGCAGAGCTGGTTGAAGGGCCAAGGCGCTTGTCATCTGAGGTTGGCACAAGGAGTGTTCAGCGATGTTCAGCAGCTTTGTTTATGCTAGCAAGCACATGTCACCGGGCGATTTGTGGATTATCAGGTCATAGGCCTTAGGCTGATGAGGCGTGCTTGACACGTTTGTCAGGATTTTTTGGGCGCCAGAGATCTTTGACAAGAGCTACGGCTTGAAGGCAGGGACTTGTGGTATGTTCTAGCAGTGGATTGCAAATCCACTGATCACGACAATCGCTGTTGGCAATGTGAAGGAGGGGACTGTAGGGCGACGGATATGCTGTTGCCCAAGCCTTAGTACAACAGGTGGATGTCTGGGCCCTCGGAATCATCATGTACGGCTTGCTGGATGGTCGCTTTCCTTTCAAGGCCAGACCCCTTGTTTTCGGTTCATTCAGTGCAAGAGCCTTCATGAACGTGTTGCTGTGCAGTCCTCAAGGAAGTTTCATTTACCCTACCTGTACCTCATGTCAATGTAGCGAACTAATTTTCAGCGATCTGATGAATCAAGCTTGTTTGGATTTCGAATCTGCTTTTCTCACAAGGCGTCCTAATGTCCCAAAGTTGCAAATTGGTTGGAGTTAAAGGCTTGCAAGAAATTCAACTTAGAGCATATGTGCAGACGCAATGACGTGATCCTGTAGGGTCACCTTTAGGGTTTTGCTCTGCGTGGAGCGTGAGCTGAGAGGATGAGCATGACATCAAGACCAAAGAGCCGAAGTATCCCAAAAGGCAGGTGGCCTGAGCAACACCCCAATGTTGTAGGCTTTGACACGTGATGGCTGTCGTGTCGTGCAGAGTGAACCCTCGCCACGGATTGTATAGTGCCTTCCATGTGCTTCCGCTGTTTTAGCCAATGCTGAGTGCAGTAAACCTTTGGGCTATCTGTGGCAGGCTGGAACCCTTGTGCCAAGACTTCATCCGTGTCATGCTTCTCAAGGAAGAGAACATTCGCGCGACAGCAGAGGATGTGATGGTGCGCCAGAACAGCTTGGGACAATCCTGCTTCGCAAAATCTCGTTTACTATGGCATGGCCATAAGATTTGCCTGACAGGTGCACCGGTGGCTCCACCAGTCTGATGAGATGCTCCTGAAAATTCCAAGCGTAGAGTCCAGAGATGGCCTGGGCCAAAGCGGCTCTCATCGTGCGACGATGGCTTGCCATTTGCCCCTGCCCAGGCCGGCGGCGAAGTTCAGAGTCGCTGGAGGCCTTGGTCAGCTTGCTTTTCAGAAGCTGAACGGGCTTAACACAGCTCTGCGCGGCTCTGTTCGCGTTAGGTCCAGATTCATCCTTTCGAGCATGAAGAGCCAAACTGCAGCGCCGGACACTGAGAACAAGTGCAGATCTCTAAGCTGCGAACTCGCAAGTTGCTTGGCATTGCAGATGGCGCTGCGCGTGCCTAGCCAGGTTGCCGAGAGGCGTCGTGAGCTCATGGAGCGCTTGAACAATGAGCATGCCAAGGTGGCCATTTTCTTACAGAGAGCTGAAGAGCTTGTGCTGTAAGTTTATCGTCCTCAGCTGAAGCTCAGAATGATGAGCCTGACCGTAAGCTGGGTCAGGGACCAACGGCTTTGGGCTTCATGCATTGTGCGAGTTTGACTGAGCCGGCCACCCAGACTTTGCAGATCTCTATCAGTGCTGGCAACTTTTCATGCAGCTCAGGTTCTCGGTTCCTGACCGTCGTCTGCCGGGTGCGCATTGGCGCTACCAGTGGTGGGACCGACCCCAGGCCCTGGTGCTTAGGAGGAGCATTTTTCAGTTTTACTGAAATACTGGATATGTACTTGAAAATTGGGTCGGTTACATTTCTTGTACCCTCAAGAGGCTATGTATGAACTTTACCTGCCTGCTGTGTGGTTCTAGTCAAACCGGGCCCTGTGCTTGATTCCCTGTAGGTGTCAGTTGTAGTACAGCAGCTGTAGCATTCAGAAGGCAGCTTGACATGAAATCCTGTGAGGCAGCAACGGGCAAACCAAAACGTTGTGTAGGCTTTGGGCTCTAATGTTGTTGGCATGCAGGCAGAAAATCTTGGACCTCGGAGTGCTCAGGGCCACGAGCGTCACTTGGTTGCCTGTGAAATGCTCTGTTCAGACTGGATTGAAGCACGCTCCAGGAAGCCTGGAAGAGGTGTCCAGGGAGCTGGACAGGCCTGTTTGCTCTAGTTTACTTGGCAAAGGATCCCTGCGTTCAACTTGCAGCTCTGTCAAGTTTGTATCACCTTTCGTGTCCAGCATCAGCCTCCGCAGAGCAGCAGCGAAGTGGCATCGCGAGGTCTCCACACATCGTTGGCAAGATGTTGCAGGACTACAACATTGACATAGCAAAGTTCGGGGTGGGAGAGGCCCCTCACATGCTGTGTGCTGTGCGGAACCGAGGTAGATGCAATACTGTCCATAGCACATTGCAACAGGCAAAAACCCTCGACCAATTGGCCTCCGAGGCTCCAGCACCCTTCATATGCCGAGCGCAACAGTTGTCCATTGTAGCAGTGCAAATCGCACAAGCCTCTTGCGTTGAATGAGACCACGTCGCTGAGCTGGTTTGGATCTTGTTGATTTAGGAAGTTGAAGGTCCAGAATGGATCTGCCCGCCTGATGCTGGACGCTACCACTCACAAGAAGTTGGTCTTGGACCCAGACATCAAGGGTCCCATTATTCGATGCACTCCTTCATGAATGCGGCAGCAATTGCGGAGGTCCGCGTGGTGGATGTGGTCTTGCTACGTTTGTACTCCTCATCCAAGAAGGCCCAGGGCAAAATGCAATAGGTGCTCTCGTGAATTGGTGTGGACTTCAAGCTTTTTTCAACCTGTGGCAGCTGTCAGACTTTGCAGGGCAGGGTAAAGAACCCAAGGTGAGCCAGGTCATTTGGCAAAGCAAATGCTGGGCATGGAACGTGCAGTCTAGTTGTAGATGTTCCCCGGCAGGCAGTTCATGGGGTTGCCGCTGGGTTTCCACAGAAACTCATCCATACAGAGAGCAAAGTGTAAGCCGTAAACACCAACCTTTATCAATTTCGGGGTGCCTTTGCACAACAGCATCTCATATGCAAGCCATGTTGGATCTTCCTCAAGTGGTAATCACAGAGCAGCCATGTCCTGTAGTTGCACAGGCCAAGGCTAGTCTGCAATTTTTGCAATTCGTGAGTCTTAGAGTGGGTCTTTCGAAGTGGTCACTTAAGTGACCGAAGTGCCGAGCAAATCTTTATAGGGCCTATGTCTGCAGGTTCGCCTGTTGATTGAAGTTGGAGAGCAGTATCCTGATGGGCGCAGGTGGGGTCTTTGAGCGGCTTACTGTCGCTTGTTTGGCGTTTGAATGGCTTCGAGGCGCGCAGCCTCGCGGTTACCTGGGACCAAGAAATTCCCACACGAGAATGGACAGGCCGAAACGCACAACGAGCTGTGACGAGTTGTGACAAGTTTTTGCTTTGAGAGGAGACCGCCTTCCGGATCTTGAAGGACCGGAGTGATCTATCTTGCATCTTGTGCTCCCTGCCAGCTGTTGGTTCAGTGATGTCTTGCAAGCAAAGGGGGGATTCAAAAACGTGTGCGGGCCACTGCAACTTCGAGGACCTTTTGGGCGTGTCAGCTCGGGCAGCGGATTTTGCTTTCGAAGACACGGAAGTGTACGAAGAGGAGCCGTGCCACAGCTTGGAAGCATCGCTTAGATAAGGCTTAGTGTGGAGGCAGGGAGATGAGCTTCTTATGTGTGGATGTGCTGGCACCAGGATGTCGGAGCAGAAGCATGCAAGCATCCGCAACCATGCGTCTATTCCTTGAAAGGGTTGTCCTATCAGGAGATGGACTCGCCCTCGTTTCCTGGAGTACGGACAGCCTTGACGTTTTGAGTTGGCTACACGGCTCACATCTGTCGTAGGTACCAATCAACTGTTCACTGCTTGATATAGCCGGGGAGAGTGCATGAGGGGAAGGGCGCTTTTTCTGCAGATTGGAGACGCAGTGCTGGTGTGGACAGGACCGTGTATAGAAAGGAAATCATGGAGGGCCACCTCAAAGAGACAGACGAGGCCGCAAGATTGTTTGCTAAGACTCTTGTTCTTGATGCTGGCTTAATCTTGCGACAGTAGAAATCTCTGTGCCTTGGGTATGTGTTCAGGCCACTGCCTCAAGGATTGGACTTTTGGTCCCAGAAGGCAGCGATTGGAGTGTCCAGGACAGGCAGAACTTTGCATGGGCATTCCTGATTCGTGGAGGAAGTGATGACTCACCTAGATCATGCCAATGAGCATTGTGGAGTCTATAAGATGCCCACAAGCCCAGCTCAATGTAGGATATCTCTCGCCGCGCATTCTGCTCAGCAAATGCCGCTTTCGTCTGTTGGCTCAAAAAGCATTTGCGCCTGGCACAGCCGAGCAAGTCGGGGGCTGAGTTGCAGGTTGCGGCCCACGCTGAGTCATGAGGAGGAGTGTCAAGTGATCTCCAAGGCTTTATGTTACTCTGCTAACGGAAATGGATCGCTGCGGGCTCTGCGCTCACGTGCAGAGCTGTTCAGCGAAGCTGCATGTGTGTCACGTACAGAGTCTCCTTTTTCAAGATGCATGACCGTCAATGCCCTGCACATGCTTGTGCTTTCGTACATCCAAGCCAGATTCATTCTTGTGCTCAGCACCGCGATGTGGCATATCCTGAAGCCTGAAGCCTTGGTGGGATCCTGTGATAGAGCAACGAAGGCAAAGCATCATGAAGCCATGAGGGTACCAGTGGACGGCATATGAGAGGGCAACGGACAGCATATGTCTGCTACAGGGTCCAGTCCCATGCTTGTGGTTGCACAAGACACTGCGCACTAACTGTCCGTGACCGGACCGGCCCATAAAGTCGAATTTGATCCGCCGAGGTGATTGCCCGCTGCCTTCGCTTGCATTGGCAACTGAGCCGGAGCAGTAGTAAGAAATATCAGAGCGAGTACGAGACATTATCATGCAGTACTGTTGGCAGCATTTGCCAGATGCCTCTGTCAAGAACGCCATCACAGCATAAAGACATAAAGAGCCCTCACATTGAGTTGGCAGCATAAGTTATGGCTCCCTGCCTCACCCGTATAAGAGGTCCAACTCTGTGAAGACGTAGCATCCGCACGTACGCAAATTGGACGCTGGCCGACGCCGTGCGACATCTGCCAGTGTCAGGAACTCAGAACTGAGGGAGGAATCAAATGGATTAATCTCACTTCTTGGTGGCTGATGGAGTGTGGCACCTGTGCAATGATGGTAATTCTACTTTCAAATTACCCACATGCTTGCTATGCTGGCAGCTATGACATACTGTAGACTTTCAACCAGGAAGCGTTAGAGCCGAATCAGACTGGCACCGGGTTCTTATTTAAGAGATAATGTCAACGTCTCATGCGTTCTTGCCGCATGACAGTGTTCAGGCCTTGGTTGGAACCTGGATGCCAAGAAGTTTCCGAAGCTCTCCGACTGCAACGACGTATTGGTGTGGAGTGTCATGAGCGACCAAAAGGCCTTGCTACCTTTGCCAATCTCCTACCATGTAGGGGAAATCTTTGCAAAGCCGCCACCCCAATTCTTGTCGACGACAGCCCACAAGCAGAAAGCTCTTGGTCAACTTCTTGCGAGTGACTGTTGCAGCACGAAGCTTGTGGAATTGTCAGACTCACTAGACTCATCAGAAGAAAAGCCTGTAGTTCTGCGACTGCTGTTTGTAGAGCTCCCGCTTGGCACATTTGTGGCTCTGCTCACTCAGGTCATGCGTCGGTGGCTTACTTTTCCTTCTCTATCGCAGCTGTGCGCATGCTTCGCAGCACCTGACCCTATGGAAAATGCAACTTGAGGCTTTTCAGAGGTCCCATCTTGTAGAGGCTGGTGTGCCAAGGAACCGCTGTCTTCTCCTGCTTCTTCTTGTGTCTCAGTCTGTGCAACAATCCGCTGCGCCCCGAGTGTCAGAGTTGAGGTGGCAGATGGGAAATTCTCACAGTGCATATGCTATGATGAGCGACAGCGCTTGAAGCCCTCCAATACTGATACCAAGGAAGACGATGAAGAGAACATGAAGGTATACTGGTCTGTGCCAGCAAATGATGCAATCATGCGCTCTACTTTAAACGGGACCGATCTGGAGCCCGGAGCCAAGACAATCATGATTCCGTGGTTACCAGGGACAAAGAACAGCTGAGGATGTATCGCAGCGGACTGACAAATCCATACGGAGTTGTTGCGGACAAGCCTACAGCGACGCAACTCTGGCATGATGCTAAGATTAGGACTCAAGTGAGGCCGCAGCCAAGGACACAGTGCACACCCCGTATGTCTACAGAATCTCGCATGGCAGGATCTACTGGTCTGCGCAGCAGGCGATTCAGCGTGCTTGGCTTCCAGACACCAGCGGTGCTGTTGAGGAGCGATGGTCACACATGGGCGTCGAGCAGCAGCTTTGGTACCAGCAAGTTGCATCATGTGGTCCGAGCCTCCACTTCGTATTGCAGTCTGCATGCACGTAGAGCACGCTGCAGTTGCAGTGTTGCCGCTTCATGCCAAGCCCTTTCATCTGCTTTTTGGTCAGCACGCAGGACTGGGTGAATGCCTCCGCAGGCCGTCTGGTCCTTGCTGCCCTTGGAATCTAATTGCTGGCACAAGCTATACCTCTACAGGAACTCAGCATACAGGCTGAGGAAAGCTTAAGCTTAAGCAAAGCCCTCCAAAGCCTGAATTACCTCGTTCCTGGCAGGACTTCGTTCGCCAATGGGCCTAGCGCAGCAGTCCCAGAGTTTTCCTCGAAAAGGTTGGACGAAGCCACACGTGAGGTTGGATGAAACCAACAGGATCCTGTACTGGGCTGATCAGACTTTGGGAAAGGCCCCTGCATTGGACTATCTGCTACAGCTTCAAAGGTGTGCATTGTCGGAATTATCCTTGGTCTAATTCTGAGTTTGCCCCCATTCACCCATTCATATGAAGCACGCGCTTGTTTCATGCGTGAGACACGTTTTTGCCAGATTCAGCGAAAGCCCTTGGACGGCGGGCTGTGACCTTAGCAAGCATTGGTTTGCTTGGCACATGCTCGCAGAAGTTCTGATCAAGGGTTCTTATGACTTTGCACCTGCAGAGTGTAGGTCTAATAGAGCATAATTGCTCGAAAGCCCGATTTCGAGCCAACAAGTGGTGCGAGGCGCTGTCTTGAATCAGAGTCGTGCAGGCCCATCGAAGATGTGGCAGTTGCTATCGAAGAGCCCAGCGGCGTAGCTGTGGATGTGGCGGGCGGACAGGCTTGTCATGCCTTCCCACATGTGCAACAGCGTGATCGACAACAGTTCTTGGTTAACCTCAATGATAGCAAGCTGCTGTCTTAAGCCTCTCATATCGAACTTCCATGAAGTGCAGGAAACTGCGGGTACAGACCGGCAATTCTCTGATTCATTACCTTTTGGTCTTTGTCTTGTTCCAGCATATACCTGCCACAGTCTGTCAAGTGCAGACGAGCATGATCAAGCTGCCAGGTCTACTTCTTAAGCTTCGATCTTGGAATTGTCAGCATCTCAAAGCTGGCTGCTTTGGCAAGATACCTCAAACCCAAAAGGTATTTTGAGAACAGGTCTATGGCCGTGACATTGACTTGTCTGCGGACAAATACCAGGCCCGGGCTAAAACATCGCTACTAGCAGTTACCAGCATCAAGAGACCGCTAGCAGAGCCCAAGTGATGGGATCTTGGGTCACCTGTGAAGCTGCACTGCCAATCAAGCATACTCTGCTGTGAGTGAGTAGCGACTGCGGCAGGTGGCGACTACATTTTCGCCGTATGGTCTTGTCGTGGATGCAACAGACCAGCAGCCTGGTGCCCATTCGGCTCCAGGGTTGAGACATCTCGCCACTTGCGACGTTAGGTTCCTTGTTGAGCGGCTTACCTCATGTGGCTGTTCTGGGAACAAGGGTTAAGGGCAGCACTGTGCCGAGCTGCGCCGAGCACCACGGTCATTCACATAGCGATGCAGCGAGGCAGATAGGAAGAGGTTGGACGAATTACTAAGGGGTGATTGATCGAAACGTGAGAACTTTTAGCAAAATGCAAGCAATGAATCCTGAGTTTTGAGATCCGGAAGCAGAAGTGTGCCCAGGCTATACTGGTCCAGCCGGTCTGACAACAACATTCAGCGCTGGAGCCACAAGTGCTTTAAGGAATACATTTGCATATGCGATGTGTCCATGGTGAGTCGCACTTTGCTGAGGTTGGGACATAGGTTACTTTGGCCAAGCTCCGGAGATCTTCCTGTCCGGCTGGGAGCCCTGGAGTGCTCGAGTGCGCAGATATGCGCAGATGTGCGTCCTGGGGCTGTGACGTTCGTGCCTGCTGGGTTTTGCGCTTTGTCAGGTTTGAACAAGCCAATGGGTCTAACCATCGAGCCTGCATCTTAAATTTTCATGTTTTCGTGGGAGGGCAGGATCATTTGCAATACGTGGAAAGATCGACTAAGAAGCTGCTGGCTCAAAGATCGGCCTGGCTTCAGTGGTGCGCAAGCAAAGGACATCTTCAAGATGTTTCAAGACTAGCCTGAAGCAGACAGCCAGACAGCAACCATCACGCGTCTCTCTTCGCTATGCAGATCGGCAGCAGAGGGGGCAGAGACATGAGCAGCGATGAGGTCAGCTGTTGCTAAAAGCTTCTGGGCCAACGTCCTTGCACTCCAAGCTGCCAAATCCGATGTTGAAAGCAAGACTACGGGCCCTAAACCCAACAACTCTGAAACTGTACTTGCCTTGGGCCGGTGAGATTTTGCTTTTCAAGTCATGGCCCACTGTTTTGGAATCAAGACTGGTAGGAGACAGCACCGACATCATGCCACATGGACAGTGTTTGCGAGAGGCCGCCTTGAGGGGCCCTGCTTTTCAGATACGTAGCGCTGTCTGGTCTGTGACCTCTCTTTTTGATCAGGAGTGCGGATGCCGTGAAGTACGACTCATCCCGCGGCATATACCCGGAGTGTATTGCTGACACCTTAGAAAGCCGTCTGTGATTTTGTTGAGTCTGCAAAGATCTTCGGAATCCCAGTGCCGCTGGAAGGATTCATCTTGCTCTCAGACAAGCCGGAAAGTTGTAGCAGAAGCCATAAGCCAGATGGGCAGCAGTTTTGTGGCAGTGCCGCCGATATCGGCAGTGCCATTTAATACAAAATGTGCATGCATATTCGAAGATGAACAAAGTGCCGCGTCGCTGGCACGAGACCAACTGCCGCAAGCGAGAGTTCACACCGAAGGCAGGGTGTGTTCGTAGGAGCCGATGCCGGCAGCGAGGCGAGGCTTGAGTGGGTTGTTCTTGTTGCTCAGTAGCAATGACGCATCAGCATGGGCCTTGCAGAGGATGACGCGCAAACATCTGGATGAAGTTCCGCGGTCCATCAGACCAAGCAGGCACGAGGCTTTTGAACATCGACCTCGTCGCCAACAGGTGATGAGCCCAAACGTCCCTAATTCACAGCAGTGGCAAGATGCAAAAGGAGTCCGACGCAGGTTTATTCCAGAATCGGTTTTGACAGGGTCGCAGCAGCTTGCAAGCTTCAGCCTTGGCGGAACTCAACGTGCAGGTGGTTTGAGGCGAGCCACAGAGACCCTGGCGCACGAGGTTTTGTCACTGACGGAATGCGTCACAAAAAGGGTCCAAGCATAGTGGAACGATGCACGAACGAGATTGCCGACGAGCAGTCCAAGGATACAAAGGCCCTTCAGGAATTTCAGCGAAGTTTGCAGTCCTTGGAGAAGTTTCGAGTAGAGAAGCGCCAAGCGCTTGAGGCGTGTTGGGCCGAGAACTGCAGGAGAGATTATCATGGCAATGAAGGTGTGTACCGCGGTCAACACGGGCCTTCTGAAGGCCGAAAGAGATTGGTCGTCAGGCGCGCCTGCGGTGTCCTGCAGAGAGTGGAGGTGCGGGAGTCTGTCTCAGCAGAGTTGAGTGACAGGTGTGAGGAAGCTGACGGGGCAATGCGTGAATGGCTTCGCTGGATGACTAAATGTTTTTCCCATCACGCGCTGCGCCGCAGCAAACGGAGCCGCACCAGCAGCCACAAGCACAGTTGCTGAGACAGTTTGGCGGTCTCAAGTCAGGATGTCAGAAGGCAGAACGGTGCAAAATGTCGGCGGACTTGGGAACCCCTGTGCGTATTTAGCTCCGGAGATGCCAGAAGGGAGATGCTTGTCCATGCCTACACTCGACTTCTAAAGGTGGAAATGGCAGCACCGGCAAGGGCAAGACCAAGAAAAGAAATCCGAAGCACAGGACAGCCAGGCAACAGCGTCAGAAAAAACCAGAAACAACAGCAAGACTCAACAGCAGCGGTAGCTAGATCCCTGGTCAAGGCGGCCAGGGGCGTGGAGTATGTGGAGTGCGGTCAGGAGAAGTCAGGCTCAGAGCTTTCCGGTGATGGACATTTCTCTGCCCGACTCGGGGCTTCACCATCCAGTTTACATACTCTAGAGGAGTCTTCAGATCCCGGAGAGAGCGAAAAGCCCAGCCCGACCGAGATCTTCCAAGGCCAGTGTGGTATCTGGTGTTGATGCCTGCGGGGCTCACGTTCTGGTTGTGCCCCAGACATGCTGCCAGTGACATCCAAGTGTCACATGTTGTCCGAGATTTATGGCGGGCAGTTGGTCCTGAGAACTTGCGAGATCCTCTGTGATCATGTGGACCCTATCGTAATGGCGATTCAGCTCTGTGTACTTGATCAGACTTCAGAACTACTTCTCCCTCTAGTGTTGGAAGCTTCTCCGGAAGCCAGGACGGCTCGTGCAGGAATGGCTCTGCGCCAACACATGTCGTGTCTGAACGGTTGGGTGACCTCACTTGCGCCCGAATCAACGCGCGCAAAGGTTCTTTAACGCTGTCTCCCTTGTTGAGGGTTGCTTTGGCTGCGTTTGCTGCTGATATGCTGGACTGGGCATGATCAGTTCAGTGTGTCCGTCTTCATCTGCCTGAGCTGTGAACGCTGCAACCTGATCATGAGCACGCGGAGGAGGCATGGTCTGAGGTGTATTTGGAGGTGCTGGGATCGTTGGAGGCGTTGGAGGGATTCCATCTCCAGTACAACGCTCCGAAATGCTCCAACCTAGCTCCGTAAAAAGCTCAGGAAAAACATCTTTCTCGACTCTAGCCAGAACAAACCAGGTTCATTTGCAATGATGCGCCTGTCCGTGATAGAGATACCGTGGTTCCGACATACGGCCCTGGAATTCTGGATGTCCCAAGGCCGAGATGGAAGTTTCCTACCAATTACGACAGGGGTCAAACTGCGTGGATTTCCACACTGGTGATGTTTTTGGATTGCCTTCCTGGATGGCGACATGTTCACGTGTGAAGAGTGTGCTTGAGACCCAGGGTTTGAAGATGAGCCGGAGAGCAGCGCTCCTGGGTGGTCTGCCGAATCTTGCGCGGGCTGTGAACTTCGGGGATTTCGGGCGTGGGTATCTTCCAGCCACGGAAACTGAAGTAGTTCATGGGCCAGAGAGTTGAATTGGGTGGCAGTTGCGAAGGTGACGGCTGTTTTGTCAGATGAAAGTATGTAGGGAGCAACAGTAAGCTGATGAGAGCTAGCCGTTTTAGGAGTTGCTGGCAGAGAAGCAGCGAACGGTGGAGAGCATAACGAATGATGTTTTGATTTCAGGAATCGAGCCTGCCAAGAAAAATGGGTTGCGTCGGTTGAGGCGTTGCTGGAGAACGCGCGGACCAAATCTGTACGGCCGCAATGGCATGAGACACAAGCTCGAAGCGTAGAATACCGTTCCCCCCCCGCTGGCGATGAAGGTGGTATTGACCAAGAAGCCGCCCCTCGAGGGAGGAGATGTGCCTAAGGGCCCAGCGGTGAGTGACCAAGTCCCGAAAGGTGATCTATCAGATGTGTCTGCCCGGATGTTCTCGGAGATGGCTGAGCTCGCAGCGTATGCAGCCTACAAGGCCAAGTGTCGCATTGTGGTACGTGGCAAGTACGAGCAGGAGCTTGCCTTTGCGTCTTGAAGATTGGACAGGACATCGTTTCATGGCAGAGTGTGCGTCAGAAGCTGACCGCTTGGAGCGTTTGTGAGGTGAGTCTGAAGCTGCAGCCGCAGGATTGCAGGCGCGCTGCAAGTATAGTTGGAGCAAGACGCAGCATCGACATGATCTGCGAAAATTCCAGTGCAGTGGCGCCGTGGCGCTGTTTCCAAGCCGCACCTTCAATCTGATCACATGGAGGAGAAAACATTTCGCCTTGGGCAAACTGGATCCGAGGCCAAATCGCCGGCCCACCAGAGACCATCCGATAGGACAGGAGTCGGGGAGACTCTAGTCGCTGATGCCCTCACGAAAGTACTAACCCGGACCTGCCTGGGCTTCTTGAGTGAGATGCTGATGTTGTGGTGAGCTGTGTATTCGTTAAACTTGATTCGAATGCTTGACACGTATGCGCAGCGAACCCATGTGGCAATCAACGAGTTGTTGAATGGTGCTGGGCATTTCCGGGAATCGAACTCATTGTATTCCTGATTATTCCTGCATGCAAAGCCAGCTGAAGATGCGGAGCCTTGAAGTGCCAACGATCTGAGAGAAAAACCAGTCCAGCAGCGTAACCCATATACTCCTGGCATGCTTGTCAGCACCATCTCAGCCATCGCAGTTATGACGATTGGAATTCAAGAACGATTCAGGTTCGAACAGAGGTGACGCGTCGCAAGAGGCAGAAGGGCATGGGGCACCTTCGTAAGAGGTCTGACGTCTGAAGACCGCTGCGGTATGTAAAAGGCGGTATGTCAGCATGGGTTGTATACATTTTGGGTTTCATGCAAGCTTTTGACTTCGGGCCACATGACGTGCAACCCTGAAGACCAGGAGTCTTATGCGGCAGGAGTGTCGCATCAACATGGCGATGACACGCAGATCCGACGAAACTTAACCATCATTTATGCCAAGGACGTTAGGTCAAGATGAAAGCGAATTGTAAGCAAAACGGTTGGGTTGCGTTTTGGCATCGAGTTTTAATGCGCCTGGAGTGGTGTAAGGTCTTCTTACGACCATTTGGATGATGTTCCGTGGTCCATCAGACAAAAGAGGTTCGATACTTGAGAACCCTTTCCGAACCCAAGTCTTTTCGGGATAGTGAGCATTCCTCCTGAGCATCCACCTCGTCACCAACAGCTATGTATCGGCGGCAATGCCTCTCAAAAATTGAGGAAATGGAAAGTAGCGCAAAGAAAGAGTCCGTCGAAATCCAAGGGACACCTGTTTAAGAAACTTCAGCTCCGCCCCACGGTTTGTGCGTGGCTCTCACAGGCTTTAACCACAGGTTTCCATGGTGCACCGGGCCTGTGAGGTTTTTGGGGTTCAGGCCGGCGCGGCGAAGGGGTCAGGAAAGTGCGGCCAACCGTCGGCATTTCATCAGACCAATGCTTTTGTGTTCCCTTGCAGGTCTGTCCTGGCAAACGCTGTTGGCAAGTTTGGTTTGCCCTCCACACTCAGGTCTGGACATGGTTACCAGGCTGCACGCAGTGCACTGCAGGAGCTTGAGTAGCAAATCAACCGTTGAAAGCAGTAGAACCAGGATGCTTGAAATTTTCCAATCCTGCCTTGCAGGACTGGTGGGCCACATGGGCATTACCAATTCCCGCGGAGAGGCGACAGCAGTACCTTCCTGCCAGAAGCTGCCGGGTTCAAAAGCATCACTTCCTGAAAAGGTGTTCGAATTTGTTGGGACTGGTGCCGACAAGAACCACGGGCAGCCACTTTTTTGCAGTTTAACTTACCATTTTGGTTAGCCACCTCGGTTCACATGTCATGCCAATGCGATGAACACAGGCTGGCCTTTGGGCCCATCATTCGCTATGTGCCTTTGCCCCGGAAGTTCATTCTGAGGCGCGGTTGCTATCCAGATGCAGCCCTTCCATACAGTAGACACAGAGTTTGCTCGGAAATGCCGTTCAACCATCCCCAGGGGCACCTGCGACGAGGGCATTGCGCGAGCTATTGAGACGTACAAGAATTTGAGTTGTCATCCCTTCAACAATTGTGCCCTGATAGCAGATGAGTAATTGAAAGCTCTTGAACATCTCCCCAACAGCACGGACATGAAAGGTCATTGCTTTGTGGCGGCATGCCTTCAAGAGATGAGATTCCTCGGCTTTCCCTGTTGGAATTGCTTCTGGTGACTTAGCATCATTAGGACAGTTGCGTGAGCATTCTGGGCCCCTGCAGTGTGAAGGATGAGCCTTTGGTATGTTGCAGTCTTTGCTCAGAACTGTTCAGGTGGGTCCTGGCAGTCATGCAGCTCGGCTGATGTATGTCAGAAAGGTTGGCACGACGTCTAGGCATGTCGCTCTGCCGTCCAACCCAGGGTTTGGATATGTGGTTTGTTTCCGGCCAGATGGTCCACAGGACAGCTTTCTGAGATGAGCATTCCGTTAGCGTAGCAGATACATGGGCTTCAGAGTGCTCCCGAGAAGAAGCATCGGGGGTAAAGTGGATGCAGCGACTTCTGCACCTCAGTCTTGTCATGTTCTTCCGGGAAATGGCAGGAGCTTGCTTGCTGTCCACTGCAGTGCTTTCTGGTGCCGTGCCCTGGCCTGCTCAGTCGGAAGCATGTGGCATTCTGATTGCCCAGATGTTGTAGATTAGCTGGTCTTCAAGTTGGCTCCAAGCAGCATATTTTGTTTTTTGGGAGCTTTCTGCCGATGGGGATCTTCAACAGGGTTCCACCATCTTGCGGTATAGCGGAGATCCATGCGACAGCTCTGAACAGTGTATTGGCATGTATTGGCCGCAGGTGCTTTGCGTCGTCATCTTATCATCCAAGGGAAGCTGAACTGGGCAGAGCTGCCCGGAGAGGGGAACTCCGCGATGCGCGGAGGTTTCTGCGAGATGGTCCTTCGGCATGGCCGGCGTGCAAAAGTTTGGCTGCAAATAGCCTGTATGGCGGATTATGGCTTGAAACCGCGGACCATCTCGTGCTTTGTCTCACTTGCTTTAGACTGGGATTCTCGGCCCGATGGATGTACTGTAAAACAGCACCAAGGACTGACTTGACTGCGCTGTGTAGACATTCGTGCGCTGTGTCCCTGCCATTCATGCTTGCTACCAAGTGATGGCGCTCGGATGCTTTACTGGGTATCCGAGGGCACTCAGATGCACGGCCCCCAGTTGCAGACGACGCTTTGTTGCTTGAGCTTTGCTGTTCAAGGGTGGCTTCTTTAAGTAAGGTCGGCATGCTCCTATCCCGCTAGCCAGCAATTCATAGGAATCATATGCACTGCATGCTGCCTTTGCAAGTAGCCTTTCGGTTCTTCCAAGGCTTCATCGCGCAAAGTTGGATGGCACTGGAGATGTTGAAACCCTCGCGACGTGCCCTCAGATGTGCCATGGTTTTATTCTGACTTTCCTGCTTTATGTACCACGGACCCGGCAGTCAAGCCTGATCTTGCAAGTTGCAATGTGTGCGAGGCTCGACTCTAACTTATTGTCGGAATCTTGTGAGGCCCGCCGCTGAGGGCCTAGCAGTACCGTACTACCTGTCGGTGCAACGCTCAGGATCTTTGCGAACAGTGTTCTGCTTCTGCAGCTAGCATTGCGCAGAGCCTCGTAGGAGGACTGATAGAATCTGATGAGGTTGGATACTATGCCGAGCTGGAGATAGCCCCCACCACTACTACAAGCACGCTGTCCTCACAAACTACCACCTCACTTACTATGACTGACACAACCAGGACGCATACTTCGCAAACTGCAACAACCTCCACTGATCCCAATGCGACCACCAGTAGCACGACTTCCACAACCTTCGAGTCGACCATCAGCAGTTCGACGACTCAGACAGGAAGCACAACTCGCACGGAAACAACATCATTCAGCACTCTCTCATCAAGCACAACCACGTCAGGCACGGCTACCGTTACAGCTTTGTCAGCAACAAGTGCTACGCCAACCTCCAGTACAACGTCCACCGTTATCTCAACTACACTCACCTCCAAAACCACATCAACCACTTCCGGAACAAACTCAACTGCAAGCCAAACTGTGACCTCCACAAGCCAGTTTTCACGGACTACAACTTGGTCCACGTTCACCGGAAACGCCGCGACAACTTCCACAACGTCCACGAGCACTACAAGGACATCCTCCTCCATTACTGCACTCATGCACATCAATACTACTTCCAGCACCACAACCGAGCTTGGAGCACTCTCCTCGACAAGCAGCATGAGTACGAGTGCAAGTACGCGTACGGGCACAAGTACGAGCACAAGTGCGAGCACAAGTGCCAGCACAAGTATGAGCACAAGCACAGGCCAGGGCACCTTGTTGGCAACGTTTCCTAATCCTCTAGATTGTGGTGCAATTTGTGTGTCCTGCCATATGCTTTGGTGCCATGCACTGCAGGCTCATCCTCCAGCACAACAAGTACAACCTCCAACGAGTCTAGCCTGCACTGTGCTTGATGTTGTTTCAAATCCACTTCTTTCGTTGCTTATGCTGCTACATCCTGCTACCGTTCATGGCTCTGCCTGGATGCAGCATGTGTCAGGAGACGGAAATCATTCTGCCTTTGTTGCCGTTGCCTGTCTGGGCCTCGACTGCAATGCACCCGATTGCGGTTTCAGAGTCATCCTAACTAACATGCTCTCTGCAGGCCAAGCACAGAAGGATATCTGATATCTGAGATTATGGGCCAGTAGTTGGGACACGGGAAGACTTTCATGAGCCCTTGCAGTTCCTGGATACATTCAGGCCATCCTGCGCTTGCTTTGCTATTGAGGTTCAGTTGCAAGGAACCAGCATGCGACCCTGGAAGACTGAGGTGTTAGAGGAGGAGAGCTTCGTGACCGCTACAGTCGTGGCTGTCACCTCCGGCGTGGTATCGCTGTCCTTTTTCGTCACAGGACCCGGCGCAAATTACCAAAAGCGTTCTCGACGTCCCTGCCTCGCAGGAGCTGTCATCTTGAAAAAGCTTGGAATGGCGCAACCAGGCGCAAGCCCAGCATTGCCGAAATCACTCCTTGACGGTTTACTTGTGCGCATGCAAGCAAGTCTGGCGTTGCCAGCATCTGCATGCTGCACAGAATACGGAGACACTGAGTAAGGTGCACAGCTGGGCGCCAGCCTCTGCAAGAGACTGGCGCCTACGGCTATCAAAGGGTTGTGGCCGGCGCGCAGCTGCTACCGCCGTTTATGTCGCAAGCGGTCCACTCCGGTGCAGGCTTGGACTGACTGGGTGTGTGAGAGACGTGAGAAGGGGCGCTCAGCAATAATGGGGAGCAGCTCGTAATGTTTGCTGGGGAAGATGTAACTCAAGCAGTCAGGTGCTTTCGACAAAAATTCTTTGCATGTCCAGTTCCAGGAAATATCAGCCAAAAAGACAGAGCTGGGCCAAGATCCCGCGGGTGAGAAGACTGAAGAGGCGGGCACTGGCTTGACTGGCCCATGGTTTGTCATTCAGAAATGACTCATCGACAGCTCATGCGACATCCAGCTTTCTTGTAGCTGACCTCAGCACCCAGTGTTGACGATGGCTTTGTTGCCCTATAGGGCTCAAGAAAGTAATTTTATCGCTAACGCGAGACCACCTCGGCAAAGGTAGTGGAGGCTAGGGCTGGCAGTTGAGGGTCAGCGTGGAGCGCAGCTGACTGGGCTCGAGCGCAAGGGAGTGGCCTTTCCCCCCCCCCGAGGGGTAGGGGGTGGGTTAAACTTACTCTTCTTCCTGGATCTAAACGTGTGAGGCCTCCAGCCTCGGCGAATAAGACCAGAAAATTCGGGATCCGGCTATTGGAGTAAGCTTTCAGCACCCGGTCCAGCACCCACCAGTCCAGCCAGCACAGGCGCTCAAGTGCATGGACCTGCTACCAACATTTGGGTTGGAGCACAACCGGAAAGATGAATGTGGGAGGAGCAACCGAAACGTTCCAAACCTGGGCAAGTTTTTGTTTGCTTAGTCAATTTCTGTTGTAGCCACTTGGCAAGCTCCGAAAGCCTAAGCATAAAGTCCCTAAACGCCGAACGCAAGCCGTACACGTACACCTCTACATGCGAAGATCTATCTGATAGTCTATCTTGAAACCCATGAACCTCAAGCTTAGACTGATCAAAGCTAGCGCCTTGAAACCCAAAACCTCGGAAGCCTTAGACTCCGTTACAGACCGAAGGGCGCTGAAAACGAGCAACCTCGTGAGCCTTATGCCCTTAACCCTGCCACCTCTCAACCACAACTCAAAACCCCCTGATCTCAAAAATTGACATCCTACACCCGAACTTCGAAACTTCAACCCAAAGGCCAAACCTTTAAAAACTAGGTGAGCCTAAACCCTAAGTTCTGAGATGCTGCCGAGCCTTGCAAGGGTGAGGTATTACACATGTTCTGTGGGTACACAGACCACAGGAACTTCTGCTTCAAGGGCAGGGTAGGGTTGCGACACTTTTGCAGGTCTTGCATGAATGCCTGGATGTCGACCCCTAGAAAGCTGCTGGTAGAAGCCCCAGAGCTTGCTGAAGCTCTGCCGCCTCCAAACCCTCACCTGAATTCCCAACCACCTCGAGGCTTGAAGCCCCAAGTCCTAAAACCAACCACCTCTGAACCCTAACCTCTTATCTGCACGCTCTCCTAAGAAGTTTAAGCCTTCAGCCCTAAATCCTGCCATCCGCCACAAAACTGCCTTAGTAGGAACAAGGTTAATTATTTAGAACCCTGCACCTCGAATCCTCAACCTAAATCTGTAAGCCCAAAGACTGGCCACGTTTTTGGAATGTGGTGCTACGTGACCAGAACAAGCATGGTTTCGACAGGCGGAGACGCCAAGAAGCAAGGCTGACTCCGAGGGAGTCAAAGAGAGCAGCTTACGCAGCGTCGCGAAGAGGCTGCTTGGTTCGCACTTGAGAGCTGCAGCTCATGCCAAGCCAGAACTTGGAGGTGAAGCCTCCCTTGAAGTTGACTGTAGTGACACGTAGTGACACGTAGTCACAGTGAAGAGTGTGACGGCATGTGCCAGCTGATCCTCCGGGCCAGGCCCAGCCATGGCGACGTTCAGGCCAAGCGGGTGTGGGGGATTTTGGGAGATTTTGGGGGTACTTGTTGGATGGGCCGCCAGACCGCCAGAGTCTGCAGGTGCCAGAGACGCCAGTGGATGTAGAAGAGGCCTGGAGTAGGTTACTGACAGCATGGGTCCTTTGGGATGCAGAGTTGCTTGTAGCCAAAGTATCGCTTTCCTCTCCACAAGTGAATGGGAACATCCTGCTTTTTGAGGAGCCTCGCTGGTCAACAGACGTTGGGGACGGGTGGCTGCAGGCTCTGCAGGCTCGGTTCTGACCAGCTTGCTTTGATTTCATTTTGTGCTTTGGAGTGGCCTAACAGGAGTTCTTCACGTCTCCGACATCTGATCCCACACCACGCAAGCTGGCTGAGCTCCTTGAGAACTGGCATCGAAGCGACTTCCAAGTCCCGGGCAGCCGTGAGGAGACGCAGCCACTGCCGGCATGCGTCATCGAGACTACGAAGGCGGTGCTGCTAGATCCAGAAGTGGGAGGCCACTCGGGCTACCTGAGAGGCCGAAGCTGCCATGTTCGCGTTCAATCTGAATCTTTGTGTTGCTGAGGTGATGACCTGAACGACACCGAGCTTGAAAAGTTGCAGACTCTGATTGACCGAGCTTGGCAACAGCACTGCAAAACTGGCGAAACCGGCGAGCTGCCCGAGGCACGTTACGGCGGCATAATCTGCGTTTCTTTGGTCATGATGTGCGCGGCCTTTGACAAGACAGCACTTGTGAGGCGGAGCAGGAGGTTGTTCGGTGGGCAAGTTCTGAACTGCTACACGATTTGCGGCAAGTCATTCACGTTGGGCGCGCCGTTTCTGACGCGGATGCCCCTTGCATGAAGGGACGGAAGCGCAGGCGCAGCTGATGAGCATTTGAGAGCTCAGGTCCTGCGTGAGCTGGCTCGCGTGCGCGCTGATTGGCGTACGCGGTCAGTGGCACGCGCGCGCTTTGCCAGAGATGAGGCAGCAGCCGCGGCCCTTCACAGCATTGAAATGGCAGCCAGCAGCGCTGTCATACGAAAGAGCCTCCACTGCATTTCCGCATGCACTTTTCCGGTGGATGGGTTTTGCTTGAAGTTACCTGGTTCTCAGCTGAGGATTTATGGCTCCCAGCTAGGCCAAGCTCAGCTGGAGTCAGAAGCAGTGCAGCGCACAGCTTCCATGAAAAGCGGCCAGGCTGGTCGCGCTAAAGTGGTCCATCTGCTTAGTCTGCAAAGTGTGGGAGTCCATGCAAAAAGCTGCTGATAGGCCAGCCTGTTGCAACGCCTGGAGAAGCTCTCCGTCAATAGAGACTCGTCTTCAATTCGCCGTCCATGTGACTCGAAAGACATGTGCGGTCACATCCGTAATAGTCAGACGCGGTTTACTGGAAATTCTTGCCCCTCCCCAGACGTTCGCTACAAGAACAGAACCTCCCACGTTATTCCAGTACCACTTGTGCCGCTCAGCGGCTTGGAACGACGATTCATTCCAAAGAAACAGTTGTAGAAGACAGACATATGCAGCATGCTTACACAGAGGCCATGTTATCCCTCCATCATGCAGGCAAGCAGAAAGGCGCCGAGATGAAGGTGCGGATAGCGGGTGACGAACTTCTGGCAGAGCTATCGCAGCTCTTTGAGACACGAAAGGGTTCCCTTTCGACAAAGGAGCCTTTGCTCAAACAGTTTTGGGTCGCTCTAGCTCAGTGCACGAGCGCCAATGAAAGCGCCTGTGAGGATGTTATTGCCTCCGAGGCGCTGCTCTTCACGCTTCTGAGGAAACATTGCTTTTGTTACGATTGTGGATCTCTTGAATATTGAGTTTTGGCCTGGATCATCACCTGCCTTCAGGTGCTGGACATCGCGCAAGGCTGGCTGCAACGCCATGCGGATGCAGCCGAGACGCCACGGTTGGAGGCCCTGTGGTCCGAAGCGCAAGGCGCAGCCTGAAGCGACAGCAGACTCTGCAAATGTGTTTGCTACATGCTGTGTGCTCAGGCATCATTGCACAATCCCTGGCTTCCTCCAAGTCTTCAGACTTTACCAGGATCCGTACCTCGATTGAGGAGGCCCTGCTGATACAAAAGATGAGGGCCTTCAGCTGAACTGTGCATCACTGCTAGCGCTGCTGAAGGGATCCATGCAAGGCGTGGAAGAGGGACTCTGGAGCGAAGGAAGGGGGGCTCAAAACAAAGATGGAGGCATGGTCTTGTCTGTGCATGTAGTCTGGTCGGTCAAATTAGGACATGAGAGCCGGTACCAGTCAGACCTTTTCAGACTGTTGAAATTTGAGGCATACGGCGGTGACGAGTTGCTCAACGACCTGCAGAAGCTCTTCAACGACAGCTGGAGGTATCCGGAAGCAGACTTGAGACCAGACATCGCAAGGATCTGTGAAGGCTGGCAGATGAAGCAGATGGAGGCAAAGAGCATGCCATCTGGCTCCGATGGAGCAGAGGTCCTGGAGAAGTTGTCTGCGTTATTACAACACGTCGTGAACCTGAATGGTGGCAGTGGGCTCGATGGTGCAGTGTTGGGAACCAGCGACTTCGCGAGGCTGCGGCCTGCTATTGAAGAAGCATGGCGGCAGCAGCTGAATCCTTTGTTGCAGCCTTCTTTGCAGCCCAGCGTGGCTCAGGCAGGGGCTTGTCAAGGTCAAGTTTGGTCCATGGGTTTTTGCTTACCCTGTTCCTTTTTGGGCAGCAACTGCCTCTAGAATCAGAGTGGGCAGTGCCCTGTAGGCCATGATCATGTAGAGTGGTGCATTTAGAGGCGTATGGTGGTGACGCTTTGCTGAATGACCTCCAGACTCTCTTCACGAGCCAGGGGCACCCAGCAGACAGCAAGGTCGAAGTTGCTCGTGTGTGCGATGCCTGGAAGGCAAGGCAGCTCGAAGCCCAAGGACTCTCTGTCGGCTCAGACACGGCAGTCCTTCTTCAGAAGCTTTCCCGGTCCGTGCAAAGTGTGGTCCATCGCCACCCCGGCAGACTGGATGGCGAGAGTTTCATGGTTTTGCGTCCCCAGATTGAAGATGCCTGGCAGCGCCTTCTGCGGAATGCTCCTGTGGCTTCAACATTCACGCCATTGCAGGTTCACCAGCAAAACGTGGTAGAGGTCCGCCCCGCGAGAGAGTGAGAGCATGTGAGAGTGCCATGAAGCGTGAACAGCCAATCGTGGTGCTTGACAGGCAAAGACGGGTGCTGAGCTGCTGAGTGCTTTGGAGAAGTTGGTTGCTGACTCGTCTGGGCATTCATCGGCTGACTTACGACCACAGATCGCCAAGATGTGCGATGCCTGGAAGGTCAGGCAGATGGAAGCCCGCGGTGCTGCCATGCGAGAGCTGGCAAGTGCAGCACAGAAGGCGACGCAGAAGGTCTTCCAGGATTCAAGCAATCTTCCAGACTGTGATTCCAAGCTGCGATACGAGATCGAACATGCATGGTATGAGCTCTCCGAGACCTGGCAGCACCCATCCAGCACGGTACAGGCCTCGCAGAGACTGCACCGAGCAGCCCAAGGGTTGCACCGGGTTTTGGCATGCGATTTTTAATGATTTTTCTGCTAGGCTTGCGGTGGAGAAGTGCTTCTCCGGGACTTGGAGACGCTTCAGGCAGCCAGCGCAGCCAGCAGCGCAGCCAGCAGCGCAGCCAGCGTGTGCGAGACGTGGAAGGCGGACCACTGAACAACTGAGAATGCAACTCTACACACACCTCTGCTTAGGGTGGTCCCATGCAGGTTTGGCAGATGGAAGTGCAAGCTGCAACATTGCAACAGTTGGCTGACTCCCTGGAGGCCGGGGGGAGCATGCGTGCGACTGCATGCCGAGAGTTTCCCTGACAACAGCACGCTTGGTGCAACGTATGAATCGAGTGTGTGCTGCACTGCTTCTTCCTGCAGGTGGTTGTGGGCAAAACTCTGGGCGAGTCGGATGGTCGCCTGGATTGGGCTGATTTTCAAAAGCTCCGTCACCAGATTGAAGAAGTCTGGCAAAGCCACATGCACAATAGCCGCCAGCTCAGTTTGTGCGCGATTTGGCGGACAGGGGCAGTATGTATAGACAGCATATTTGATCATCAGAAGGAAGATTCTTGGATCAGAAGCGCTGGCTGCGGTCACGGTTTCACGAAAACCTTGCAGGTGGCCCGCAGGAGAAAGCTGCAAAGCTGGATAAGCGGGGAAAAGCTCAGGCACCCCTAGAAGTCGCTGATAGGAAGAGTGCTTACGACCTGAGTTGTTCTACAGGTGTGAAATTGGCCGGGGGCGTGTTGTCATCCGATGAGATACATGAGATACTATGTCGTCGCTATGTATTTCAGCGGTTGTTTTTCTCGCGCAGTAGGCATGCGGTTTGCTTTTGTCAGACTCCTTGCGGTCAATGTATGCGTTCAAAATCATGGCACCTCAGATCGTTCCGCGTATCTGGCAACCGTCCAGGCCTTGAAGGATGCAGATGGGCTGTTGCAAGATTTGCAAGCGATGTTCGACGTCGCGTGGTCAAGGCAGGTGCCGAGCGAGTCCTCCTAGCTAGGGCAGAGGCCCTGTGCTGTAAGTCTACAATCGACAGGTGTTATGGGGAGGACCTCAGACCAGAAATGGAGAGCCTTAGCAGCAGCGTGATTCAGCAGAGTGTTGGGGGAAGTATGAGGCCTTCGCATCAGCTACCACGTTGAGTGCTGGTCTCATAGGAGCTGCATGACTTGCCTGCCTGCAAGTCCTGTAGGAATCGATGTGCCAAGTGGAAGCAGCGCAAGCTCGAAGAGCGTGGAGTTGGCGAGGACTCGGAGTTATCACGAGTGCTGCAAGGCGCTACTTGTACCGTTGTAAGACTGGCAGCGGAGCCCCTGTTGGCTGGGTGGCCAGGCTTCGTGGAAGTGGTGCGGCAGGTGCTCGTACCCGGGGAAGCGGGTGGCGTTATACATGCAGACATGGCCTTCAGTGAGAAGATGCAAACGGAAGTCAAGGACCCGCAGCCTAAATGGGTGAACAACATGGCTTGTGCTGTGGTGTATGTGGTGTCATGCAAGGTTCCCCTGTTGCAGGAGCTTTGGAAGAAGCAGATCCACCCAGAACAGCCCCGCAGCCGACCTGTTGTCAAGTTGGATCGTCAAAGCCGCAGCCAGGCAGATGCCTTGACGATGCTTGCATTGGCTCCCAGACATGCCGTCGCCATCACCTAGTGACCTGCAGGCTGTGGCCGACGGTCACAAGCTTCTGCGAGAATTAGAGGAGCAAAGATTGTCGCTGTGATTCGTACAGTGACCAGTGTGGATGAAATCCCAGGACCTGTTCAACGAAAGCTGGGCCCGACCGGGCGCAAACTTGTTGAGCGACGTGGCACTAAACTGCAAGGACTGGAAGGCCCGGGCGGGCTAGAGATTGATGGATTCGTGTTTGAAGACTCTGGCAGCATGCACATAACGCGCAGGCAAGGCAGCTTGCGGCCCGAGGCGTGGGTGAGGACACGACTGCTAAATGCAGTACTGTGGCACGTTCAGATGTGATGAGGGCTTGTGCCCCTTGTCGTCAGCTCCTGGTGGTTAAATCACTCCACCACATCGAACCCCACGATGCCCGTCGGACAATTCTTGCCGTGGAAAGTATGATGAGTTCGTACGTTTGGCTTGCAAGGGGCCTCCAAGCCTTTCAGTGTTTTTGGCATGTGGACCTTTCGAGTCGGGTGGCCGCAATGTTCTTTTGGTCTTGCTGGATCACCAGCATATCTTTGGATGAGGGCTGTCTTATGTAGTAGTTATGATTCAGATTAGTTCACGGAGCAGTGACCAGGACTCCGAAATGGCTTCCTGGTTGCAGAAGTTGCTGGACTCACTGCAGGCAATTCTTGAAGACAATTTCACTTTGGTTGAGGGCTGCTTAACGAGGACCATGCGTCCTGATTCGTTTGGCCAGGAGGTTCTGCACAGGGACCAGGCTGCTGTCAGCTCTGACTTCGTCCGTTGGTGACCCAGGATCTTGGAAAGAGTATTGCGCGGTGCGAGATGAAGCCTGCCAAAACACAACGGCACTCAGGCCTTCTGCCCGAGATTATTCAAGTCTGGCAGCAACATCTGTCTGAAGCGAATGGGCAGGCCACGGACAGTGATGCCAAACATTCCTCACCTGTAAATTTTGAAAAGCATTCCAGGATGCATCGCCGGCGCCGGAAAAGGCTCGACATCGCGAGGACCGATGGGGGTAGTAAGAAAAGATGTGAAGTCAATTCAGTGGAATTCCAGAGTTAGTTGTCTGCCACCAGGACCGAAATCGCAGTCGAAGCCGGCCACGCTTCACACTGCCAGGCGACGAGGCTTTGGCAAAGGTGCGGACCATGGGCAGGAGATCCAAAAAGTGGGTACAGAAGGCTCATCGCATCTCATCGCTCATCCTGAAGGCCGATCAAGCCAGAGAGGAGCTGCTGCGGGATCTTGAGGCTTTCTGTATTGCACCTCAGCCTTGCCCAGCCTTGCCGTCTCGGCTTGTGGTTTCTGGCGTTTGTGTTTCGGGCCAGGCATTGCTGGAAGAATCGACCTCTGATGCGCACAAGACGCAAAAGGTGTCTCAGACGAAATTTGAGACCTCAATGCGCAACGCGACAACCCGTTCAGGGAAGCCATATACCTTCAACAGTGAAGGCCGCCGATTGCCATTGTGCAGGCTTGTTGAGTCTAGAGAGTCCCCACCAATCCCCCCCCAAGCATTTCCTCCAGACTCTCCTATCTTGGCCGCTATCCCCCTACCCACCATCCTCATCCAACCTGAGGTCGAAAAGTTACTGCAGAATTGGCAGCAGAAGCAGCTTTCCGGCGAGAACGTCGAAACTCGGTACAACTGGTCGCTAGCAGTTGTGGCAGAACTTAGCGGCTCGATGTTCCAGCGAAAGCTTGGGATCCCAGGATTCTATCACTGCGGAGCTGCTTCGCGGCCTGGCGGATGCCGCGCAAGCTGCTGCGAAGAGCGGCCTGAACGAAGTGGCTCCAGCCATTCAGGTGTGGTGATGTTGTTTCTGTGGGACTTGAGAGGGTTCTCACTTGGAAGTTGCTTTCGTCAGGAGATTTGGCAGCAGCGAAGTGCCTGGCTATCTAAGGCAGGGCAACACTTGCTGAGGCTAGTCTACTGAGCTAGATGCTGGAACTCACATGTGCACGTGCGCATGCTGATGTCGCGGGATCAGGCGGCTGCTTCGCACAATTCCAGCGCCGGGCATGCTTGGAGTTCATGGTGTCCGGAAAACCGCTCCGAGGCCGGACAGGAAGCAGACTTCGTTCTTCGTGATTAGTAGCTCATGCTCTCGTGTGCACAGCTTCAACAGAGCACAGGTGGGCCGAAAGGGTGAGGAGCTGCTGAGCAACATAAAGCGCCTCTTGAAGACGAGAGGCACCTTGGCAAAGTCTCCCATTCTCCGGTTCGCGCTCGTTCATGCTCATGCATCTCATGCTACGCTGGCCTGACTGTAGTCGTAGACGTGAGGTGCTGTCTCTATCAGGACGCTGTGCTGTGTATGCTTGTGTGGAGGCGACTTCTATGAGGAGCTGGAGATTGTCTTAGACGGATGGCAGAAGGTGGATGGCGAGCCATCCATGATATTGCAGGACGTCAATCAAATCTTGCTTTGCTGGTCAAGTTGAAGAGCCGTGTATGTTCTGTGTTGATATGTGCAGTTGCGGGCGTTGACTGATTTTCCGGCACAGCACCCATGGAAAGCATCTTACTGTTGATGGATGAAATCTTGCACCATCTAGGGGCCTTAAACTACTGTAATTCCTAGGATTCTAGGGAATTAAGGTGGTGCAAGATTTCCTCCATCAACAGTATGTAGCCAAATCTAGCCTTCTGGCACCACGCCATCTGCAGTCTGGTTTCAGAAGTGCCCTAATTAGCCAGCAAAGCTAAAATGGATTGGGGCGCACAGTGCAGGATATGGCTGAAGCCGCCCGCAACATCTCGGTTCTGCTGGTGGCGCGATGCAGGGGAAAGCGGTCAGTTTGGCAAACTGATGCTATGAGTTGAGCCAGTTTAGTGTGTGCAGTAGCAAGGCAAGGTGTTGAAGTTGAAGGTCAGATTGGCCTTTTCTTGCATGTTGGTGCGGCTCTTGTAGGTCAACAGCGGCAATTGTGACTTTCCGCTCCTTGAGGACACTGATTGTTGCAAGCATTTGCGATAGCCCTTAACTTCCATCTGTCTTCCCGGTCTACTTGAACTTGCCTCCGCGGTGTCGTGAAGTGCGCAACCATAGCTGCCCACTTCATCGCGGTCTACTGTCGACAGCTGAAGAGGATGCTGGCGCCAAGAAGTCTGTGCCCTGGACCAGGAGGTCGACCTGGTCGGTACTGGTCGGTCTGTTTCTTTTCGGAAACCTCTACCTAGAAAACGGGCTCTATAAGGACACTGGCGAGTTTCTATCAGACGTCACAGAGTGGCTCTACACGGTAACAGCATAGCTCTTCAGTAGCGCAAGGCATCGGTGAAGGCTGCTGCCGCGAGTGCGCCGCCCGGCCGGCCGCACAGGAGAGGCTCCCAACGAGAAACTGGAAGAGCCCTGGAAGCTCCCAGACCACAGTGTGTTGGCTTTCCATGGGAGAGGGAGGGCAAATTCTGCACGTGCTGGCTAGCGCCAAAAAACGCAAGGAGCTGCGCGCGCTCTGCACGCAAACTTGCAGGCCGAGGTGGCCGCCTCTGAAGACAAAGAGGTGCCCAGGGAGGTGCCTTGTGGCAGCATCTTTCACACGGCTCCTTGCTCCAAAGCTGAGAAGCCACCAGCTTGCGAAGCAGCAGGGCGCGAAGAAAATTCTACCGCGACGCTTCAAAAGAACGGTGACATACGCTTTGCGCAATCGGCGCAATCTTCGACCGACATTAAAAGACACGTGTCTCCGATATCCTCTTCTTCGAGAGTACGGAGGCCTCGCGCAGAGCTAGTCTTGAGCAAGGGCTTGGTGTGGCAGAGGAGTTCCACGTAGAGGAGGGCACCGCAAAGCGGCCGCCGTGTCGTCTGCGGCTGTCAGCTGAACGTGTAGCTCCTGGGAATCAGTCAGAGTGTGCGATTTTTGTTATAGCTGAAGACACAGTTCTGTCATTCTTTAGGGTCAATTAGGAATTCCTCGTGTAAGACCATGAACATTTCCAACCCAATGCAGAAAGCCTCACTTCCTCATGCCAAAGACCAAACCAAAGCTATGGGACCATGCACCAAATCATCGATGGACGGCCCTGATTGCGAAAGCGTGGCTGTCGTATCAGTCAGAAGCAAAAACAAGAACGGCGACAAAGGGCACCCTTGGGAAATACTTGCGGCGCTGGCAGTCAAAATTCATGAGGATCTTTTTCTCTGGGTTTCAGAATCTTACAAGAGGGATTGTGCAAGCAGCAAGCAGAAGAGCCGTTTGGGTACTGTGGAAGTGCAAAAGTGCAGGAGCGTGTGCATGCTGCTTGGAAACAGCAGTTGGAGCAGGCAGGAGGTAGCTCAGCTTCTGCATACCAACGAACGTTTGCGGAACTACCAGCCACAATCCGCTGATACTGGTGGCATGCTTTGACTTTCCTGATCGGTTTGTCCTGAGGCAGTCGGCAGAATGGCAGGTTTGCATTTTTCGAGGGTTCGCTGAGTAAGCCCTTGCTTTGCTTTTCGTTCCTGACTTGCTCCGTCCGTGTGCAAAGCGAAGGTGGGTCCAAGAAGCTCCAGGCCCGATGCTGAAGTCACATGCAGCGGCAGCCCAGTAGCTATTCGACCCTGGCTTATCCCTAGATGCGGCTGATGGTTTCCTAAGAAAATCTGGCCATCATTGGTCAGAAGCATCCACAATCTTGCCGGGGCTTTTTGGGGCCTCATGAAGCTTTAAGCTGAGGGTGCTCTTAGTGTAGGTGCCATGAGCTGATTTTGACCCTCAAGCTCACAGTACTGCACCGCCGCAAGCCCCAAAACACACCTTACCCAGGGGGATATGCAAATCCATCTCATTTGCGGTCGGTCCGCGTTGCTGTTCATGATTTTGTTTTCTGGGGAGGCCTTCCAAGTCTCGCGCGTCATCACGGCGCCGTCTGAGCCTGAATTAAGGCTTGACGTGTCCATACTTTAGGCCCTACTGCCCCAAATCTTGGGGTTCATGGTCAAGAGATGCATTTGGCGTTGGCACTTTTCTCAGCATGGCGTCTTCCACCAGTACTGTTGCTTGCCGAGGGAACGTCATGGACAGCAGCACAGCCGCACTGGCTGAAGTCTTGCTTCCACAGTGCGGATCTGAACCCAAGCAGGTTCTGATGCCGAGGATCGACATTCGGAGGCCTCGTTGGCTTGCTTCCTCTGACTAGCTTCAACTTACTTGCTGTGGGGCCACAGGTCTCCAGCCATGCGCCAGACTTTGAAA